GTTGCAAAGGAAAACTCCACTGGCAATCAGTCTGATTTGTTGCAGACAGATTTCCCATGTGCAGGGCAGAAAGGTGAAAGGGAGTAGCCTCTGGTCCTTTTGTTACTTAGGCATGGAAAGTTAGAGTTTTCCTTTCAATTTAGTTCTAGGAAGTTTCCTGCCTCCAGACCCTATTCTCCTGGCTCAATTCCCATCATCGCAGAAAGTTTCCTTGTGACTTTTTACAACCTTTTCATCCTACTTCCTTCACTTAGCATGAGGGTTGTGAGGTCATCCACATTGCAACGTGGATCAAGCAGTCTTGTAAACTGTGGTATAAATATCCCATGTCTTAAATATCAATTCACCAGTTGATGGTCATTTAGCTTGTTTCCATTTTTGACTACTGAATTATGCTGCTGTGAATGTTCACCTACAAGACTTTGTGTGGACATATGTTTTAACTTTTCTTGGATTAGAGTTGCCAGATTTAGCAAGTTAAAATACAGGATGCCGAGTTAAATTTAAATGTCAGATAAACAATACTTTTTTTTAGTATAAATATGTTCCATGCAATATTTTGGACAAACTTATACTAAAAAAATTGTTTGTTTTTATCTGACACACATATTTAACTGTGCATTCTGTATTTTATCTTGCAGCTCTGCTGATACCCAGAAATGATATTAGTGGGTTACATAATAGGTTTCTGTTTAACCTCTTAAGATACTGCCAAGCCGTTTTCCAAAGGGACTCTTTACATTCCAGCAATGTGTGAAATTCATCTTTTTCTCATCTTTATTGACACTTGGTTATCTTTTTAAAACTATAATCATTTGAGTGTGTGAGAAGGGGTTTCTTGTGGTTTTAATTTCATCAGGTCTTTATAAAGAATTATGTTTATTAGCTATTCATAATATCTTCTTGGGAAAATGTCAAAATTTTTGACCAATTTTTACTTTGTCACAGTCCTACATATAATTTATAGTATTTAGAACACCACTTTATAAACTGCTGTCAAATTACCATTTAAACATTAATACCTAAATAAAGAACTTAGAACATTATTTTAAATTTTAACTCTACCATCACAAATCTCTGAGCATTGAATTTGTTCATCAATTTTTAATTGGGTCATTTGTCTTTTTATTGAGTTCCAAGAGTTTTCTAAGAGGTCTTTATATATTCCAAATACAAATCTCTTATCAGATGTATGATTTGCAAATACTTTCTCCCAGGCTTTGGCTCATCTTTCATTCTCTTGTTTTTTAAAGCCCCAAATATTTTAATTTTGGAGAAGTCCAATTTATTAACTTTTTAAAAAATAAATTTTGCTTTTGCTATTAAATCCTTTGCCTAAGACCACAAAGATTTTCTCCTATTTTCTTCTATAAGCTGTATAGCTTTAGCTCTTATCCTTAGATGCATAATGAGCTGAGAGTCTAATTAACTGTCTCCTTTTCCTTCCTTTTAAAATACAGATATCCAATTGTCTCTGCACCATTTATTGAAATGACTGTCTTTTCTCCTGCTGAATTATCTTTGTGCATATCTTGGAAGTCCATTGGTCCTATGTGAGAGTTTATTTCTGGACACTTAATTCTGTCCCATTGCTCTATAGGACCAATTATCCTTGTGTCAGTAAACTCTTGATAATTGTAGCCTTACAGTAAGTTTTGAAATTGGGTAATTCATCTAATTTTGTAATTGTATTTTAAAATCATTTGGGGTCTTTTAGACATTTTGCATTTCCATATAAGTTTTAGGATCAGCTTGTGAATTTAAAGAAACTCTTTCTGGAATATTGCTAGGGATTGAGTTGAATTTATAGAACAATTTGGGGAGAATTGCCATCATAACAGCATTGAATTCTCTAATCCATGAACATGGAAGTTCTCTTCATTAATTTAGATCCTTTGATTTTCCTCAGCAATATTTTTCTCGATTAAATAAATGTATTATTGTATTCTTTTTGACGCTATTCTCAGTAGTTTACTTTAGAAGGTATTTTTCATTGCTAATATGTCAATTTTTAAAATATTGATTGTGTTTCCTACAAGCTTGCTTGCTAAGTTTATTGGGTCTCATAGCTTTAAAAAAATTTTTTTTTCTGGTAGATTCTTTAGACTCTGACAGGTAATATTAGTTGTAAAGACAGCTTTTCTCTTTTCCCCAATCTAATGTCTTTATAGTCTTTTTGTAGGGAGACGGAGCAGGGACTGGATAAAACCTCCATGACAACATTGAATAGAAATGACAAGAGGATGTTCTCTACTTGTTCCTGACTTAAGGAGAAAAATATTCTTTAACCATTAAGCATGTTGGCTGTGAATTTTTTACAGATGCCCTTCACTAGCTTGAGGAAATTGCCTTCTACTTCTAGTTTGCTGGTTTTCATCACGAATGCAGCTATTTAGTTATTATAGTGAGTTTTATTGTTTCTTCTATTAGTATGGTATAATACATTGATATTTTTGATGTTAAATGAAGCTTACAGTCCTAGGATATGGTCCATTTGGTCCTGGTGTATAAATCTTTTTATCTGTTGCTGGATTCAATTTCCTAATACTATGTTTTGAGGATTTTTGCATCTCTCTTCACTGGCTTTAAATACTTTTAAAATATAGGTATTTAAAAGCGTAAATTTCCCTTTAAGCAGTGTATTAGCTATACACTATAAATTTTGACATTCTGTACTTTCATTTTCATTTGTTTAAAATTTTCTGACTTCCTTTGTGACTTCTTCAATACATGGATATTTTAGAAATGTGTAACTTAATTTCTAAATATTTGGGGCTTTGTAATTTTCTGTTGACTTCTGATTTAAACATGGTTGGAGAACATACTTTTACTATTTCAACCCTTTTAAATTCATTGAGACTTTTTATGAAATAGCATGTGGTTTTCCCTGGAGAATGTTCCACATGCACTGACAAAGAGTGTGCATTCTGTTGGTGGTGTGTGGTGGTAAGTGTTAGGACAAGTTGGCTGACAGCATTCTTTTATATGACTGTGATTCTCAATTGAGTCATTCTATCAATTATTGTAAGTGTCAAAATCTCCAAATATTAAATTGTCCATTTCTCCTCTCAATTCTATGGTTTTTCTCATTATTTTGTGGTCCTGTTAGGTGCATACACATATGTTAACTGTTATATCTCTCGAATATATGACTTTTTAAAGTATCTTTTATTTCTAGTAATATTTGTCTCAAAGCCCACTTTATTAATACAGACATTCCAGCTCTCTTACGATTACTGTTGGGATGTTTTATATTTTTCCATACTTCCAAACTATTGGTCTTTGAATCTACAGTGTGCCTCTGTGGACACCATATAGTTGATTTTTTAAAAATCCATCCTGACAATCTCTACCTTTTAACTATGTAGACCATTCACATTTAATGAAATTATGGGTATGATTAGACTATGGCTGCCATTTTGACATTTGTTCTCCAAATGTCTCATACAATTTTGCTTCTCTGTCCCTCTCTTTCTGCCTTTTGTGTTAAATATTTCTTGGTTTACCATTTTTTTAAATATATTTTTTAATTGATGCTTTAGTGGTTACTCCAGGTCTACAGTATGCATTTCAATTTATTACAATCTTAAGACTAATTAATTCCAATAAAATACAGCTTTGTCCCAATAGAGCTCCATTTCCTACCCACCCCTTTGTGCTATTAATATACTCTGCACCTGTACTGTAAACACAACAGCGTGGTGTTATAATTACTACATAGTCTTATGCTGCTGAGAACTTGTATTTATTTTGGTAGGCAAATATATCCCGAAGATTCCCATTCTCTATTTAATCAAATACTAATCTTGGTACTGCTGTGAATGGACTTTGCAGGTAAAACTGAGGTTACTAAATAGGGTAATTATCCTGGATTACCCAGATGAGCCCAGAGTAATCACCTGACCCATTAAAAGCAAAAGAGGGAAGCAGAAGAATCAGAGATGCAGTGGAAGACAGTGGAGAGATGAGACAGAAGGGGAGATCAGAGGGAAGTGCAAGGAGGATTCAACCCATTGTTGCTGGTTTTGACGATGGAGGAGGGAACCACGAGCCAAGGAATATGAGTGGCTTCTAGAAACTGACAACAACCCCTGGCCAACCTCAGTCTTAAACCATATGGAGTTGAATTCTGCCAACAACCTCAATGAGCTTGGAAGCCTATTCATCTCGAGCCTCCAGAAAAGAATGCAGCCCAGCCAATGCCTTCATTTTGACCTTTTACAATATGGAGCAGAGAACCAACTGAGCTATGTTATGCCCAGACTTCTGATTTATGAAACTCTGAGCTAATAAACGGGTGTTGCTTTAAGCCAGTACATTGTAGTAATTTGTTATGGCAGCAATACAATCATAGTCTTTTCTATTTACACACAAATCCACCATTTCTGGTGCTCTTTATTTCATCCAGTGGATTCAGGTTACCATCTGGTGTCATTTATTTTCTGTCTGAAGGATTTAGTATTTCTTGTAAGGCAGATGTCCACAGGCAACAAATTCTTAGTATTTGTCTGGGAATGTCTTAAATTTCACTTTTTTTCCAACTGTCAACAAAAGCTCCATATCCTGGCGATGTCTTTATTATAAAGAAAAAAAAATCCTTAAATCCAGCCTTCAAATTAAAGTAACTATCTCTAATGTGAGAGCAATCCTATTCCCAAAGCCCCTCCCCAGAGTCAGTCAAGGGTTTGGGGACCACATCTCTATCATGATTTTCCAGTTCTCTTTATCAGCCAAGTTTTCACCCCCAGGACACTAACAAACGTGCTGAGCCAAAGGCAACAGAGTTCACCTGTAGTCAGGTCCACCATGCCGCACTTTGGAAGACCCACACCCCTCAGCATGTAGAGAAAAGCCCCCAGGCATAGAGTCACACCTGCAGACAGGTGAGTACTCCTCAAACATGCTATAATATTGTAACTTGCACTAGACAGGGTTAGAAAAGAGACTCTGGTAACTCAAAGGTTCTACTTGCTATCTACAGCAACGACATATAGCATGGCTCATTCCAGCATACACACGTTATTTTAAAATATGCCACTGGCACTTGGGAAAAATGTAATTTATTTGCACTGCTTCCATTCTTCTACTGCAGTGTTAGGACTTAACATAAGCATCACTCTTCTATTTCCTATTTACATTCATTTGGAATATTACTACAAATACAATATACAACTCAAAAAACTTATGGGGAAACACAGCTTATGTTTTTTTTCTCTTTACAGGCTTCTCAGTTTCAACTTAAATGGAAATTTGTATGGACATTTTCTGTACATATCTTAAAGGGCAGAGATTACACTGATAAAGCCAAAAGTATTCTGCACAAATACAATACAGAAAACAAAGTACAGATGATGTTATCTGGGGTACAAACACAAACAATACAGTACCATTAGAGTAAATGAGCAACATAATACCCATACTTCATAGAAATAAAACGGCAAACCTGGAGAATGCTCTGACAAATACTAAACATTATATACACAATGAGGTAAATGTACCTTGGTCTCTTGAGAGGTAATTTAAGTTTAAAGCAATTGATATTTTGAAGCATCTCCTTGACATATACAGAAATATCAAACACCCCATTCCGTTAGCACAACGTGAAAGAGGGATATCAAAACACGGTTCATGATATTCAATTCACAAATCTTGTTAAAAAATAAAAACAAATTCACTGAAGTTCCTTTTAAGTTGTAAGAAACAGGTTGAATGTTATTAACTGTATTTTTAAAAGTTTACATTTACAAACAAGATTGCATAATGGGATTGAAAAGTTTAATGTACTGACAATCCTCACAATATCCTAGAAGTCCAGCATTCTTAGAGAGAGGGCCCATTGGTATTCCAGTAATCCAAAACAGAGACAAGAAGGTGCAGTACATGTCCAGAGATAATCCTTAGTATCTCAAAATATCTGAGTTGGCATTTTCTGCCTAACTGTAACAGAACCATTATTTGGAATCACCATGATTTGGAGCCAGAACACTGCCATGGTTAAGAAACAAAAGAAACAGTTGACTTATGATTCTTCCAGTGCAAGAATAAAAATAAGCTTTTGATGATGTGACTAATGGCATACTGATTTTGTCGTGCAATTATCTCTTTGTCATCTTGTTTTATGAAACAGCCTCCATCTGACAGTTCTCAGACATACAGAAAAGAGGTAACCCATGGATGGACTACAAAATCGTGAAGTGACCACTTAGATTTTGTAATAAGAACTGAAGTCTGGGATTCTTGATGGCCATGGCACTGTACACCAACTCAAGGCACTTCTTGAGCACTATCATTATTACAGCAGAATTACAGGCTCAGCTCTTCGGACCTTACCCTGTCTTATGGGGGATACAACTGGCCACTGTTTCTGGCACAACTCCCACTGCCACAGCAGCCACCTTGCTGCTATCCCATTCCTCATCCATGGCTAACGTCAAAGGAGGGCAACCAGCAGGGGCATCCCAAGCCTCATCTGCTCAATCTCCAAATGTGGAGACCCCTCCCTGCCACTTCTAATGACGAAAAAAAAGAGGAAATATGTCCCACAACTTTCATCAGCCATTGTACTCTAGATCTCCAAAGCAGCTCTTCAGTCAAAAGGCTGTGGGGGAGGCAACGGTCTCTGTGTCAGGGACCAGCAAGGAGGAAAGCAGGTTGCAAGAAACAGCTGGAGCCAGAAAGGATGGAGCAGGGATGTCTATGCCCACTAAGTCGTATTTCCCCCATCCCCACTCCTCCTGGCTATTGGCAAAATGAATATAGACACACAATTTACTGAAGGTGTTTTAGCCAAGTTGAACCCTGGAAGGAGAGCATCCTAGGATGGGCAGTATAAACAACTGTGTTTTTAAATGACAAAATTAATTACTCTAATCAAATTTATCTGCAGTTATTGACAGTAATCATGATCCATCCCATCTTTTAAGTTACTTTCATTTTCAATATTAGTCAATTGTGGTTTATCAAACCATCCCTAGCCAAAAAAGGAATTAACTGCAGTAATATGTAAAGTCAATTCAGAACTAAACTCCAACTTTAAAAAAATTCCCTGATTCATTGAAAGTACATTTTATCCACTTGGGTAACAAAAGTATAACTGTAACTCAATCTTTGATTCAATAAAAAATATCTTCGGCAAAAGTGGATTACCTTACATGAAAGTGAGAAATCATGTATTACAACTTTAAATCAGACAAATTTTGGTATGTTCTTAAAATTATATAAAAATAGTTTTAGTGATAAAATGCATTGGTCCCCTGGATTTCATAAAGCAGATCTGGTAGGCTTAGAAATGGCCCAAAAAACCCACAAAAAAAGTACCTGATCACAAGATTAGAGATTATTAAACAAGTAATATAACACAACTATAAAAACAAACCTCTCAAACTCATTCATTTGCTTCAATGAAATTATGGTAACTACAGAAAAAATCAACTTTTTGTAGTCAAAATAGTAATCTCTAAGCACGTTTTCCCCATGATGTTTTTAAACACATAAAATTGACACTAAATTCCTATGTAGTATGTCACTCATTCTAAAATTACTTTGGTTTTAAGACCAAATAGTCTTTCAAATTTATTCTACGTATAAGAGATAAGACATTATCAGAATGCAACTCATTCAGTGTAAATGGCCACTTCCTCTTCCTGACTAAAATACTGTATTGGTTATTAGGACCCTGTATTGGGGAACTGACAGCACTATAAAGTCAAAGTCTTGGCTCACAGCTAGGATAGTTTTTCCTCCCCTTGGAACAAGATCACAGTGATAAAAGGACTTTGAAAACTGCAAAAGCCCTGCAGAGACTTTATAGCATTGGAAGTAAAAACCAGTTATTACAAGCTAGTTTCAACTTAATGTGAGAAGACCATGACAAGTTTGCTTTCAATATTTAACTTGACAAAAACATCTGTATAAATGGAGAAGACCCTATACTCAGAATATTCTTTAGCTACCACCTCTTCCAGATATCAAGGGTGCACTGAATGCATTACATAAATTACATGTAAAGTAAGCAGTTGCAGTGTACGCACACATAAGGAAACACTGAATTAAAAGCTGCCTTCCTCAAAGTGTAGTGAGACCTCAAAATCACACTAGCTCTAACCTCAGTTACAAAGACAGAGGATCCACCAAACATTCCTACATAACCAATGTGACTTTTGCACATCTGTTATCTATTCAAATTACTAACTACCTTTGCCTTCCTGGAAAAAGGCCTATTATTTAACATTAACCATATTCTAATTTTAAATGTAATTCCTTTTTTAAAAAAATAACACTGTCTTTGAACACAGAAAGAAAAAAAATGGCTTACAGAATACCACATAACTTTTCACAAACAGCTAGACAAACTTTCCCTTTTAGAAAAATTAGTCTGTATGATACAAATATTAAAGTACTATAAGCATCTAGAGTGCCACTTGTTATTTTAAAATTATACTTAGACAACACAATTAAAATGCAAAAGCTTGATGTGAGAATATTCAAACATGATCATGCTAACAATTTACTAATTAATGCCACTTCATTTATTTAGTGGCTTAAGCACATTTTGGTAGGAGAATGGCATTTTCAAAATAGAATACCAAATGACATACCACAAAAACCTTTCCAAAAAAACAAAATAGAAAAAGTTTGGGTTACCCACATAAATAAGCTTTTTGAATTCAAACACTATAGGTTTTAACATAGAGACTTTCAGCAATCCTACTCATTTCCATTAGAAAGACACAGAAGTGGCACTTACTGGTATAGTACAATCCCATTTTGAAGGCATGTAATGTTCTGAATAAGTGAAAGAACAATAATAGTATACAAAATACAATTGCATAAATTATGTTCCTCACTACTATATGAGGTCATTTTTAGACTCAAGATAAGAGTTTTATAAGTGTTAGTTTTAAGATCCTGAAAAACTATAGGACAGTACATTCAAAGTCTGAATCAAGGAAACTCTAGTGGTTCAGAATCCTCTGAGAATGTACTAACCAGGAGTAAATCACTTTCTTTAATAATAAGAAATGTTTTATTATAACTCAGTAATCCAACTCCTTTGCCCTTAAAGATGATCTTCAGCACAGCAGAGTTACCTAAAGTTAAGACCAGCAATCATCTTTTTAAAAAACAAGTTTTGTTAATAAAAAATAAAGGTAGACTACACAACATTTTGTAACTGTCCTGGCAAAGAGCGTTCATAGTGCACAGAAAGGACCCACATGGCTGTTTCCTGGGTCCAAAGAAATCCTGGGAAGTTTTTAATTGACTTTATGACACTGCTGCAAAAGGAAGCAACATCCTTCTGTTCCCTCTCAGTGAGGTAGAACAATTGACCTCCCATATTAAAACCCAGGAGCAGATCTGAAGAAAAAAGTCGAGTTCAGGCAAAGCTGCAGAATTACATTTTGATGCCTTCCTGTTGACTGAGTTGTGATAATGTTTTCTTAATCCTCAACGCAGTAAGCCTAGCTGCTCCATTGGCATACCAACATTCTCTCATAATTTTAGCCATTACTCTCAAGGCCTACAAGAAAATACAAGAAAAATAATTAATGCACTTGCCATTTTCCACTTGTTTGGATAAGAATCTTTACCTGTAAATTTTCTTTTTAAATGACAGATATACATTTGTTGTTGTTGTTGTTGTGGAAGCATTATTTGTAATAGCAAATGAGTAGAAATTACATAAATTTCCATCAATAGAATACTGGTGTCAGTGCTGGAAAGCAGGTGGTCAAAGACTGACTCACTTAGCAAACCTGAAAAGGCCAAATCCTAAACCAGAGCTGGGCAAAGCAAAGAAGAAACCTGACCTCACATTAAAATTTTAAGTTTGTACTTTGAAGCATCCAGATCACATTTTTCTTTTGAGACAGGGTCTCACTCTGTCACCCAGAGTGGAATGTAATGGCATGCTCTCAGCTCACTGCAGCCTTGACCTCCCAGGCTCAAGCAATCCTCCCACCTCAGCCTCCCGAGTAGATAAAATTTCTGAAAGACAAAATCTAGCAGCACTCTTATGTCACATGCAAATCCTCTGAGCATGCTGAAATACATTTTATCTGGGCCTGGAGATGTGACTTTGTTGGAGGTAGCAAGCTCTCTTGGTTATCAGAGGTTCTGCTGAGTCCTACAATAGTTTAAGATGTAAAATCAACTACTGAACTGAACAGCTTTTTATAGCTTTTAAGCTACAAAACTTCAAACCTGGAGGAATATTCCCTGCTTTACCAATATTATAATAGTAACAGCTAGCAATTAAGGAGAGGTTAAAGAAGATTTGTCTTACGAATCCTTAAATCTGCAATTACAAAAACATTTCTAAAACTTTTTGTTAGAGCTGTTGAGAAGCTCAGACACTGTTGGAAAAAAGCATTTTCCACAAATTCCTGGTTAACGGTCATCTAGGCAATCAGATGAATGAAATGGAAAATCATTTGAAACACCTTTGTAATCACCTTATCTGAGTTCCTCACCTTACAAAGGGATATTAAGGTCCAGAGAACTGAAGTGATTTGTTCAAGTCAGATCCTTAAAATGGTAGCCAGGCTGGTCTAGAATACATGTCTCCTTATTCCTGTCCAGTAACTGTCCACCATTCTGGGTTGTCCTGGCTGAAGGGAGGCATTCATTTAAAAAGTATGTGCCTTAAGTTTGCCTGGCAGATCTAAGCTATGTTCTGATATGTAAAGGCCACTGCAAATGTTCCATAGCCCTTTCACTGTGCTTACAATTGAATATGAAAACCAAATTATTCTGTTTTTACACATTGGTTTGACTGCTATGAAAAAGAAAATTCTTGTCTGTTTTCCTTAAAGAACAGTAGCAAATTTTCACTTACTCAGCAGAAGCAGTTTAGAAAATTGCCTAATATCAAAAAGAAATACTCACTTCACAGCTCTGCCATCTGTTTGGGATATTTGGCCTTAACTTCTGTTCACAAACGACTTTTCTCATTTCTTCAACTGATGGGTCAGAAGGTACAAGATCATAATAAGGCAGCTGGTAATCTTCATGAATACCTGTATTAGTTTAAAAGAAAATTAAATTTTGAAGAATTTATTCAGCTAATGCCAAACCATTAAAAAGATCACCCGAGAGCCCTAGTACAGTGTCTCATTACTAAAGTAGGTAGGTGGAACTGAGATGAATAGCTTTCTCTATCTCATCTACATCTGTATTCACGGGCCACTTCCCTGAGTTGATATTGAGCCCACACCTTGAAACTAAGTATTGCCAAGAGATCAATAAAGCCTATTTGAAATGACAGTAAACTATGAGCTGTGATGACCAGATTGGCATTTTCCCCTAGAGCCCTACTGTGCAGCAACTGAGATTCTATTCTGTGAGTGAACAGGCTCTCACTTCAGTGAGACATGAATCGTATGAGGCAAGTTTAAGGTTTCTCTACTTGCTTTCTGTACTTGCATCTGTCAATAATATGTCCTATTTACTACAATACAGAGAAATACTCTGTCCCTCACTGCCTCAAAAACAGAAGGCACTAGGTCTCAGCCAAGCCTAGGTCCCCAAGCCTAAGAGACTGTTTCCTGGGTAAACATTAAAAAGTGCTCCATCTAAAAAGCTAGAAGTTAAAACAAACTCTAGAAAACACCACAATAGTAACATAATTGTATTCTGTGTATGTAATCTACAACTATCAAGTTGGAGAAAACAGCCGCAATCTCAAAGAAAAAAAATAAGTTTGTCACCCAGGTACATGCTAGAAACAGCTTCCTAGGTGAGCCTCTCAAGCAGCTGTCCTTTCTAAAGAACTATATTCCAATATAACAAGGGGTTGGATTCTGATGAGTCTCAAGATTCAAATGGAAACAGTAAGAGAATACACTAGGCTAGAGCTGTGCATGTGTACACCATGGCACTGTCCCCTCCCAAAGATTTCATCGCCTTTGTTTTCTCTGGCACTTGGTGACCTCCTGTTTCAGATGATGGACTGTACATAATTTCATTCAACAAAAAAAGAAGACAATTCTTGAACAACTTCTGTTCATGACAAACTGTTGGGGGAAAGGGGAACAATTTACCACCAATGGAACATCGTCGAGCAATTTCCCAGAATACTAAGCCCATTGCATAGATGTCAGCACGTTTGAAGGATTCAAAATGTTTCATATTTATGGAATCATCGAGAACTTCAGGGGCCATGTACCTAAAAGAAAATTTGCAAAAAGAACTTTGAAAGTCATGCCCTTAATGCCACATTGTGATGAACATCCACTCAGACATTTCTCTATACATAGACAGCTGCACACAATATTACCTAGCAAACATCAAGAAAAATATTAAATGCACACACTGGTTTGCACATTAATGATGTCAACTGAATCCCACAAAATGCTGAAACAGCAGTTTCAAGCTACCTGCCTCATGATCTTGGTTTCCAATGAAAGACACACATACATCATTGTAACCATTTAAGATGTCCTAACGTACACCACCTATACATGTACTAGGCAGAAACCATGCATTTGAATCTAGAAGTCTTCTCACTGAGGATGAAAGGAAGGGCAGGAATATACTCCAGGGAAAAAGAAAATAGATACAAAAGAATGCCAGTTCTGCTACTGATGCTACACTAGGGGGTTCTGAAGCTTCAAAAAACTACTAAAATTATGGGTCAGGACCCACAGAGACCTGCAGCAACCACTGCCAAGCACCCCTTAGCCGGTTGAGAGTTGAGAATCCCCAGTGAATCCAGAAATCTCAAAATCGTACATGCAATTTGAATAGACTAATGCTGCCAGCTCTCCGGCTCTCTCCAAGGCCAAGGCAGTAGGTTTGAAAAAATGCTGTGACAACATGTGAAAAGGGCTTTGTGTCAGAAATGCCCAGGTTCAAATCTTAGCTCTCTGGCTTATCATCCACATGAAGCTGGGCAAATTCTTTAACCTCCACAAGGTGGTTTCCTCATCTGTGAATTAAGGGTAACAACACCTGCCTAATTAAGTTCTTTTGAAGACTCATGGACTCAACACATATCTACTGAGGATCTACCATGTATTAGGCATTGTGAAGGATGCTGAGAATACAAGTCTGCTCTCATGCTGCTTGCACCTAATAGAATATGCAGGCAAATAAACAAACAGTTACAACATAATGCATAAGTGCCTCAATGGTCCCAGTTCAGTGTGCTATGGCAGCCCTTGGAGGGACTCCTAAGAGTCTTGAGGATCAGAAAAAGCTTCCTAAAGGAAAGGTGGGTATGTGGCTGAGAAACAGTAGGGTAATGTATGCTCCAGGGGATGGCATGTGCAAAAGTTCTAAGAAAGCAAGAAAGACATATTTTCAGGGACTGAAATATTAAAACAGCAGGGCTAGCTACAGCACAGTATTTGAGAATGGTGTTAAATCAGACAATATAAGTAAAAGACCTATTAGCTAGATGATTGGCACATAATAGGTGCCCTATAAATGTGAGTTACTACTGTTATTATAATTAACATGACTAATATTTTCTGGAAGGGCAACCTTCCATCAGCAGGCATCTTTTTAAGTCAGGTAACTTTGGCTTCAGAGCAGGCAAGACCATGAGATCTTCTTGCCTGTTGGCAATCTAATAAAGTACAAGCTTAAGCTCAGTTCAGTGATGATACGTACACATAAAAGAGAAGGTGAAAAAGGTGATTTCAGAAGATATTAAATACATTTGTTCAAAAGTATACCTTTTTGTTCCCACTCTGTGGTTTGGAGCAATATCAATTGTATCTGTAGCTGAATCATGTCTTACTGCCAGTCCTAAGTCTGCAATACAGCAAGTTCCATTCTTCTTTACCAAGATATTCTTTGATTTCAAGTCTCTGTGAGCAATGGCTGGCTTTCCTAAAGAATCAAAAATTAAACATGACTGCTTAAAAGGTAACACCAATCACAACTCATACCTTTAGGTTCAAAAGTCTCTTCTCCTAACCCAAATGTATCAAATCATTTCAGCCCACATGACCAACAATACCTAAGCCATTACTAAATAAACTCAAGTGAATCATTACACCAAAAGTCATTGAAATTATATTTCTTTAAAGAAAATGGGACAATAAAAATAGATTAATGACTCCAAGACTGGGGGCAAAAAATCTTATCAGTTTATCTGTTGGTGCCTTATGAATTCTTTATAAGAAACTTAGCCATAGACTGATATTCCAGCAGCCCAGGAACCATGCATGTAGATTATGACTTCCCTATCAATTGAAATGTACTCAGTATTAGGTGTATTATCTTTGATACTAACCACTAGAATATGTGTTATTAAAAACACCTGTAATCCTTGCACTTTGGGAGGCCGAGGTGGGAGGATCACTTGAGGTTAGGAGTTCGAGACCAGCCTGGCCAACATGGTGAAACCTTGTCTCTATTAAAAATACAAAAATTAGCTGGGCATGGTGGCAATGTGCTTGTAATGCCAGCTACTTGGGAGGCCGAAGCAGAAAAATCGCTTGAACCTGCAAGGTGGAGACTGCTGTGATGTGAGATTGTACCACTGCACTCCAGCGTGACAGAGGGAGACTCCGTCTCAAAAGAAAAAAAAATTATAATGTGGAAAACTTGAACCTTTACACACTGCTGGCAGGAATGTAAAATGGTTCACATACTTTAAGAAAATAGTATAGCAGTTCTTCAAACCATTAAATAGTGTTATCATATGCTACAGGAATTCAACTCCTAGGTATATACCCAAGATAACCCAAAACATGTACCAACATAAAACTTATACACAAATGTTCATTACAGCATTAGCTACAATAGCCAAAAGAAGAAACAAACCAAATGCCCATCAGCTAATGGATATACAATATGTGGTATATCCATACGCTGAAGTATTACTCAGTCATCAAAATGACTGAAGTACTCATACATGCTACAACATAAGTGAACCTTGAAAACATGCTAAGTGAAAGAAGCCAGTTATGAAAGACAACATATTGTATGATTCGTTATATAAAATGTGCAGAATAAGCAAATCTATAGACAGAAAGCAGCAGCTGTTGCTTAGGACTAGGAGTTTGGGGGGAAAGGTGAGTGACTGCTAGTGCCTACAGGGTTTCTCTTTGGAGTGATAAAGATATTCTAAAATTGACTGTAGTGTTTGTTGGTTGTGCAACTCTTGAGTATTCTAAAAACCACTGAATTTGAAGTGGGTTTGAACTGTATGATGTGAATTATAACTCAATAAAACTGCTATAATCAATAATAACAATAATTACAAAGATGGAGCTGGTTAAGGTGTGAACTGGTACTTATACTGTATGTAAAGTGGGGAATGGGGGAGCCACTGGGTTGCAAGTGGAAAACTGCTAGAGCAGAGAGCTATACTGGCATCTGAAATCCTACATGGCACAAAAACCATAGCATAAAATTACATAACTAAAACTTAGTATTTAATTTTTCAACTGTAAAACTATCTCATGCAGTCTCCTTATCTCAAGGTCAAATATAATTATTAGATGGCCAGATAACATTTATATAACATGCTGAAGTTTTCAAAGCACTTTCTCATTTAATACTACACATAAAAATATATTCACTTAGACTCGAATTCTGAAACTAAAATCCTCAAAAATCAAAGATTGAATGCTACTTTTAAAAATTAAAAATAAAAAATCAGTTTTGTTACAATGACTAGAGAATCTCTAAACAAATTTCCAGATTCCTAGCTCTACTTGAAACTTTGAACTGAAAGATAAAATGTTCTCATCTAAAAATTTTGTTTGAAATATCTCCAGTTAGGCTACTTACTATTTTCCTTCTTTCTTTCTTTCTCTTTTTTTTTCTGAGACAGGATCTCACTCTATTACCCAGGTTGGAGTGTAGTGGCATGATGTCTGCTCATTGCACCTCGACCTCCCAGGCTCAGGTAATCTTCCTACCTCAGTCTCCTGAGTAGCTGGGACTATAGGTGTATGCCACCATGCCCAAATAATTTTTTGTATTTTGGTAGAGATGCGGTTTTGCCATGTTGCCCAGGCTGGCCTTGAACTCCTGCACTCAAGCGATCTGCCCACCTCAGACTCCCAAGGTGTTGGGATTATAGGAGTGAACCACCAGGCCTGGCCTCCACCTTCTATTTTCATAGACATTATTCATGGAAATTTAAAGCTTAAATAATAAAATTGCTAATAGAGTTACCTTGGGTACCAACAATCTCCATGTGAAGATGGGCAAGACCGCTCGCTGTGGACAGAGCAAGTTTTATCATTCCTTCCACAGTAACTGTGTATCTGTTTAAGTAATCAAAAAGGGATCCATGCTCATGATAATCTGACACCAACCAGAGCTGAGTCCAAGTACCATTGTCTGTAAACAGAATTAAGAGCATTTTGGTTGGGCTGTAGACCATTTATGACTTATTTGTTCAAAGGTTATCACTTTTTACTCTCAATCCTGAGTCACATACTGCAATATAATGCCACTTAAGTCTGTATTTCCTTCTACATTCAGTTTATCTTATATTTTATATACACATCCTTTAGTTACTCAGACTAAGTCCCTCTTCTTGAGATAAGGCGAGGATAATTAATCCCATTTAAGAGACAAAGATGGTAACTTTCTTGAGTCGTCACAGATAATTAGTATCAGAGCTGGCACTCTTAAGTGCCTAGAAAAATCCCTGGGTCAGGTTGGGTGCTCAGTGGCTGCTCCTGGAAGGAAAAAAGGCTAAAAACAGGAAGGGAACAGAGAAGAAAGGAAGGAGGTAAGAAGTCTCTGGAGCCCAGTGGGGCCACAGGGGGAATGGAAGAGTATGGGACAAAATCGAAAGCGAGTTTCGATGAGAAATGACAAGCTTTAGTGACAGATTGTATACACAGTTCACAAAGACGCAAGATAAGATGATTGATTCCAAGGTTGCTAGCTTAGAAAAACAGAAATAGTGATACCTCTAACACATGGGGAAGCTGAAATAGGAACTGAAATGTCAGGAGAAAAAGCTGGAAAAGCTGGGACTAAACTCAAACAACTAAGAATGTGGGTTCCAAAATTTCCTCTGTAAGCCAACACATGATTTTAAAACACGTTTTCTCATAGGAATAATGGTAAAGCTAGGCTCCTAGGCTAGACTGGTCCACAAAAGTCTAATTTAACCTGGAAGTAGCTAGAAAACCACATATTTAATTAAGCTATGAAGTAAGAAAGCATTACAACATTAGGAGACAGCACAATCCAATAAAAGATGCATGCTTAGAGTCATTCTGACCTGGATTGGAATCCATGGCCTGCCTGTTATTGATGCTTTCTTAGCCAACCAGCCTCTGTTTCTCCTTTTATACAACAAGAATAACATCTTATTTTGTAAGACTGTTAAGATTTAAAAAACAAAATACTAGATTCTTTAGGCAAGAAGTACATAATTTAAACTGTGCTCTTTCTTTCCCTGCTGGTTGTAAAACAAAAGAAAAAATCCATATTGACACGAAACAGCTTCTATTTTGAAGATATTTACTTGAAGAAGAAAAGCAACTCCGATTAGAAGAGATTAAGAAAGGAATGGGAACTTTTCAGAAGATTTTGGAAGAGATTTCTGGGTACATTTTAAAGGATGTAGTATTTACTTGTCCTTCATGAACTTTATAAACTGATTCTGTCCAAACTCGCACCCTTGCTTTAGGTACATCACTAGCTTAGTTGCATGCCTCTTATCTATTACTGAATTTTGAAAAGTTCACCAATACAAGAAATAAAGAGGAAGACAGGCAGATGGAAGAAAGGGAGACTGCAGAGGTTACTGACAAGAAAGGCAGAAGGAAGGTTATATATAAGGGGTCATACATATAAAGGGCTGCTGGGGGTGGAATTAACTAAATCAGGAGAAGATAAAGAAGTGGGAAGGAGGAGCTAGGCTCAGAGAAAATACATTAAGCCCTGAAAAGGAGAAAGAAAGGGAGTAGGGAAGAGCCAGTAGGGTCAGCTAGTTCCCATGGTGACCACCAGATGACAGCATCAGCTTGGTTAGCAGTTCAGGGCACAGACTCACCAACATTTTGTGCTGCTGTGTTTCTAACTTGGAATGTGACAAAAACCAGACACGGGGTGAGGTTTAAGCTTTAAAATGCAGATTTAAGAGTTGCCAACACGGCAGAGTTTGCAACCATGAGTGTGGGTACATTCTTGAAAAAGAAATTACCATTTGTAGAATCAGTACCTTCATATGAACCAGTGAGAAGAGTAAGACTTGAGAAAACAAAGACAACTATAAAGAAATAAGAAGGAACAATGAAAGTCTAGGGTCACTGAACATAGTAAATAAAGAAAAGGTTGTTTTAAGACTTGGGGGAGGAAATAAATGGTGTCAGAGGCAGAAACGAAAATGAGAACTAAGGATTTGGTCAGGCTGATTACTACTTGTGTTTTATTTTTAACTTAAGTAATATTGCATTGTCGTGTGCCATTGATACTCACTACCTACATCAATCATATACATCACTGCCCCATCCTAATCAAATACTATATACTTCCACATATGATGCAATAAGATATATATAATATCCTTCCTTACTGTGTATTTTGAGAAAACCAGTAAAACTCCAATTAGGTTTAGCTTGTAAATCTAACTACTAGTTTTTAGAAAACACAGAGGAACAAGTTAAGAGACACTATGGAAATTCGATTAGCAAAATCCAGAATGTGATAGGCCCTACAGGACAAACAATCCAATTTCTTCAACAAATAAACTGCAAGAGAAGAAAAAAGATGAAGGGGGACCTAAAGATTTTAAAAGACATAAGAGAAATATCAAACAAATGCAACGTGTGGACTTAGGATCATAATCTGAATAAATAACTTTTTAAAATAAGAGACAATTACAGAATTTGAACCTAAATGGATATTTGATAACATTTGAAAAATTAACAATGGTAGTGTGGTTGTTTCATAAAAACATTTCCTCATCATTTGAAGATACAAATTACATTTATAAGTGTTTATGGATGAAAAGATGTTATCTGGGACCAGCTTCAAATAATGCAGTTAGGGCAGAGTAGGCTGGACTAGATCAATTATGATGGCAGTGATCTGACCACTGTTGACGCTGGATGATGAGGGATCAGTGTAACTACTCTGCTTTTCCACACACTGGAAATTTTCTAAAAAAAAAAAAAAAAAAAAGCAGTACATGCTTGTAAATAAATCTGAAAACCCAGAGAAACTAAAATAAAAATCACCCATAATTACAAGTGAGATTAAAAATTGTTAACATTTGAATAAATATTGCTAAGAAAATGGAAGGTGAGAGAAGGAAAACGATGACTATAGGTCCAGCCAAGCTAAGCAATAATGACAGCATTTTTTTTTTTTAAATAGAAAAGCTGGGAAATACATTTGACTCAGGGGTAGGGACAAGTGTGGAGCTGAAATACAAGTCTCTGACAGAGGCAGTGAAAGTAGGAATTGTGGGCATAAAGGTATTAACAAAAGTTAAGAAAGCGGCAGCAGCAGCAGTCTGAGATCACTGCTTGCAGTCTCCACTCATTTTGACTCCCTACCAACAGGGTTCCTTCCTTCTTCAGCATCTGACCTGACGCTGGGCCTCAGGCACTGGCACGATAGAGAAAGCAGGCGTCCATATGGTTACCTATGGCAGGGTGGTTGAAGAAACCTTTTCTCTCTTTGAGTTTACCAAAAGATTCATCTATTTAGCCCTTGGCAACTCAGAACACTGACAAGTTATTTTTACTCTCCCCATAAATAAGGTCAATAGTCTATATTGAAACATCCTATTGGTCAGGAAGAGATTAAAAGGAAATGGCTATCTGAGCCCTATTCTCAAATTTTGAGCAAGTTTATACATTTTTTTCTATACCATGACTATTCTCAAAAACTAACTGCCCTAAACTAAACCTACCAAAGTACATAGCTTTTTTAAATAGCTCTTTCACATTTTATAAAACAATAAGGGATTTTATGAATATGTTATCAAGAGTCAAGAAAATTTTTAAGAAGTTCCTAGTTCTATTACTAAAGTTACTAATATATTATATTTGACTTAATGGGTCTAATCTACATGACAGACATTGATTTCTCATCTACTCTGATGATGTTTAATCTCCATATCTGTAAAGACTTGAAGAGATTTTGTTATAGACAAGATAAGGAAAAGCTAACGTTACTGACCTTTATTGTCTGCTGCTATAAATCCCAAGATGTTTTCATGACGTAACATTACAGTTTGATAAATCTCTGCCTCACGGAACCATGAACGTTCTTCTCTAGAGGAGAATATCTTAACAGCAACTTCTTCTCCCCTCCACTTTCCTCTCCAAACTTCTCCAAATCGACCTTTGCCAATGCTTTCTTGTAACACAATAGTTCTCGCAATTGTTCTCTGAACAAGCAATGGTAAACCTGAAGATAAAAATAAACAGTACTCAACACAACAGTATTACACGTTTCAAACATCACAATAGGCACTAATGAGTGATCCAGAAAACTATCCCTTGAGGAACTTATCTCACTGGGGAGGTAGTTATTACATTTGCAATAAAATAACTAATTAAAAAAGGAAAATAAGATAATAAATATAATAAAAGAATCCAGAAACTCCTGCTAGAGAGTCAAGGTAGGCTTTGTAAAAGTAAGTTGAATTTTGACTATTCCTTAAGTACAGTGGTTAGGTAGAAAGAATGTGCAGCAAAGGTAAAAGGAAATGAATGACACATGTTTAGGGAAAAAGCTTGGGTAATCAGAGAGAGGATATATGTGGCAAAGCAGTGAAAGAGAGGGTAAACTATTACCAGAAGATGAAGAGTACTGTATATCAAGCTCAAAATAACCAATAAGAGCTTTAGGTAAAAGATGAACCTTTAAAGATTTCTGAGGAGCTGGGAGTGAGATAATTTTAAAATCTTATTTTAGAAAGATGAGTCTGGTAACGGTTTCACTGATGGGGGGGAAAGGATGTGAACACAGAAACACCGAAGTAAATTCTGGGTTTTTAATAAATCAGTAAAAATCACCACAGAAACTATTTCAAGGCAAGCAATTTACTTGCTAACAACTGGCTACGTAGGCAACACTAGTATCTTACAGAACAATGCCAAATAACTTACCTTGGTAATGGAGCACTGTTTTTCCACTAATTGAACTTGGCTTTCTCCAAAATATGCATTTTTAAGTATTGCCATACTTATTTCATTTAAAAGGATTTACTACCTACCTGCAACATTAAAGTGTCACTATATGTGAGACAATCACTCAATATCCTATCCCCCATCTGACAAGTGTCATTTTAAATTACACTGACACTAACAAAGAAAATCCAGTGTTCATTATGCTCCTCACTAGTATCTTCTTTATACCACCTATGTACACATAAATTTGTGTCATTTATAATTTATAGTCAAAGCTGCTTGGTAAATCAAATTAACCCAATGATAGTAAATGAAATTATCTGATCTCTTTGGTTCCCTGATGTGAAATGCTTATAAATCCATATGTTAACTCTTCAAAGCAATCAGAAGCTCTTCTTCTCTCATCTTTAAGTTTCTTAAATGGGTTCCTTTACTCCTCTTGCTCTACCCTCCCCACCTCCTGCAAAGCAGTTAGCAGTCTAACTATAAATAACTGCTTGTGTTTATAAGGAGACTGCTAGTTAGATCTGTCAGAAATCCTTACTTGAATCAAGGAGCCCTTTTGTACTATGAATAATCAATTTTAATTATGTTTTTTGGTGTAGATACTAATTTATAACATTGTCTGAAAGCCTTGTAGAGGGCCACACCACAGACTTAAAAGTATACTTAAGTGTTAATTTCAGGAGATTAATTTGGAAATTACAAAGGCCAGCAACAAAATAGAAAAAGGAATCACAAAGTCTGAAAACACCTGACAGGTTCAGGACTTATGTAGATGGTATGGTCAAGAAAGGCCAACAGGATGAGAAAAGTTTTTGTCTTCCCCTTTATTACTGGATTCTAGATGTAGAATTAAAATTAAAAAGCAAATCTTGATCCATTATATTATCTATGTTAGATTACTTCATATGAATAGTTGAGTATTTAAAAAAAGGTAACAGTTGACCAGGCACAGTGACTCACAGCTGTAATCCCAGCACTCTGGGAGGCCGAGGCGGTACCTGACGTCAGGAGCTCGAGACCAGCCTGGCCAACACGGTGAAACCTGGTGTCTGCTAAATATTCAAAAGTTAACTAGGCGTGGTGGCACACACCTGTAATCCCAGCTACTTGGGAGGCTGAGGCAGGAGAATCGCTTGAACCTGGGAGATGAAGGTTGCAGAGAGCTGAGCTCATGCCACTGCACTCCAGCCTGGGCAACAGAGAGAGACTCCTGTCTCAAAAAAAAAAAAAAGTAACCATTTTCTTCTAAAGACAAAACTGAACAAGACTAATTTACATCTCTATATTCTCTGCTCTACTCTTTTGCACCTTTAGGACTGTTGGAGAGAAAACTTCAAAAGGGAAACAGGGGCTGTGCAGCTTCACATGCAGTGAACAGGAAATAAGACCTGAACAACATGCATATATTACAAGCGCTCATAAGCTGCCCAAGCTATAGCAAACACTGGCCTAGGAGACTCATGTTCAAAAGCTGGCACATATGCACATGTGCACACTCACACACTTGAGGTACAGCTGCCAGAACTCAGTTCTTCATTGTATTCCCTGAAGTCCCCAAGTTAAAAGCACAGTCTTTAGAGGTAGAGATAGGGCCTTTCCTTAATTATGGTCACAGTAGTGAGTAATAAACACATGAATTCAGAATGTGAAATGGTTATATTTTTTTCTCAATTAATCAAAGAACTAAAACAAAGTATTAAAAACACACATTTTACTTATTCACAAGCACTAGTCTCATGCCTAAGGTGGCATTAAGGATTTATAATGAATAGAAGGGAAACAGATGGCATTTTCTGCTATATTCAACAGAAGATGGCTTCTGCCTGGATAGGTTTGAAGGGAATTCAGTACACAATGAACTATGACAGGCAAAGGAGGCCTTAAACTAAGTTTTGTACAATGCAGTCAACTGATACTGTATGTGAGATTTTTCTTCCAAATATGTTTTCAATAAGAGTAACACTTGTCATTTGGACATAACTTTACAATTTACCAAGTGCTTTCATGCAAACATTTTGTCTCACTTGAACTCACAACAATCCAATGATGAGTACAGAGCGGGATCCAACACTTTCATTTAAAGATGAAATAACTCAAGCATGAGACATTGGTTAACTGCCCAAAGCCAAAGAGCCAGCAAGCAATGCAGACAATTTTGCAGGGTAAGGCATAGAGGGAGAGAAGCTTCAGACAACAGAGAGCTATGGTCCCTGATGGATCTAGAAATATATATAAAATGGAAACAATAATATCATTCTTTTTCATGTTTATATCTTAAATGGTAAATGAAAATATTCTTATTCAGTAATCAACTGCCACCCACCCACTAATTCCTTTAATCCGGTGGGCTTATTCCACTGTGGCAAATGGCATGAGCTGCTGTGTCTTCCCAGAGTAGAAGTTTACCAACAAGAGAATAGGTCTGAGGAATTAATTCCAAATGATCTGTAGCTATCCTGATTTTCTGTGGCTCTGTTCCTTGCTTATCACAGTTTTGGGCAGGATTACTTCTAGAACGAGCAAAATCTTCCTTGGAAAATCTGAACCAGGAATAAATGGGAAGTCCCAGGAAAGCTATTAAAATAGCCTCTCTCCATCATTCCTGCCCAAAGACACCTTCAGTACTAAGACTGCTCCATCTAAGTCCAAACTCTCAATGCCTTCCTTGCACAACTGTCTCAGGAGTCTCTAAGGTTGCCTTCTGGGACTTGGGCTCAAGTATATATCCTAGCAGTCAAGTAGAGAGCTCTCTTATTGAATACATATGGTCAAATTCTACAGAAGAATAATTCAGGTAATATAATCAGTTTCTTCATTCTTAAATGAATGGATATGCATACATACCAATATACATTCATTTCCTTAAAATAATAGACATTTGTCATTACATGAGCTTTCTGCAACATTAGATGTGATTTTTGCTTCAGAATTATATTCTTAGCCAGTCACAACTTCTGCTTTAATATTCCTTTAATATCATTCGATTATAAAATTAGCAGGTTTTTTTTTTTTTTTTTTTAGACGGAGACTCACGCTGTTGCCCAGGCTGGAGTGCAGTGGTGTGATCTTGGCTCACTGCAATCTCCGCCTCCCAGGTTCAAGTGATTCTCCTGCCTCAGTCTCCCGAGTAGCTGGGACTACAGGTGCATGCCACCACACCTGGTTAATTTTTTTGCATTTTTAGTAGAGATGGGGTTTCACCAAAATTAGTGAAATTTTCATTACATATGCTTTCCAAATTTTCACTTCATTCCTGAATTTAGCCCTTATTTGAAGATGATTCATACTTTTCAAAGGACGGTATATCTCATTTAAAAGTCTTAACAAACCACTTGAAGTGTTTTTATCAACAGTATGGGTTCCATATTTTTGATGAGGAAACAGGAGCCGAAAGAGGAAACATGTTTTAACCAAGATTATATAGCCAATCTATGATAAGGCTTGCCTTGGAACCTAGATTCTATTTATTCTTAGTCAAGTATCAAATTCTAAAAACATAGGAGACAGGGGTGTTCCTTGATAGTCTTCCAAACCTCATGCAAGAAAATGTAAAAGATAGCCGCCCTTCAGTTTAAACATGAAGCACTGCTATGCCAAAATCTACCCTGGGATGACTGACAATTAGCTCTCCACAAATGTCGACAAACAGAACTGAGAAAGGCAAACCTCATTAGGGGCCAAAACTACATTAAATAAGAAGGTGGCTAGACATTTTTCTGAAGTGAGAAAATGACATAAGAGTTCATTAGTTTAATTTTTAAAAATGAGGCCTGTACTAAAGACAATTTCATATAATGTTTAAAAAGCAAATAACCTTCACAATTCAGAATACATTTGTCATGCCTGTTTTCAAATATAAACATCAAACTACTAAATAATCCTGAATAGAATGGGTTAGCTGCAGATGGTTTGAAGATCTTGATCTTCAGCTTCATCTGTATAAGAATAATTGTTTTTATCCTTTCTACCTCACAGTGATGAAAAGCAAATTTGATGATACAGGTGAGAATGCTTTGAAATCTATACTACTATGGAACTGACTTCTGACTCATTTTAACAGTTAAAGTAAGTTCCAATCTATTTTAAACTAGCCACAGGCATATATATAGCAAGCTTAAAGATTTTTATTGGGTTCAAACCTGTAATATTATTTATCTCACATTCTAACAAGTTGGGTTATTAAAAAACCAGTAAAATAAATACCACTTAATTTTTAAAAGACTTCTTAGGAAAAAGGAGAAACAATTACATTACCTGAGCCAGAACCTGACGTTGTCATATCATAAATTAAGTCTTTCAATGTAGTACCCTCTGAAATAAAAGGGCGATCTAATGAAGGATCCTCTTCATTAGGCACTCGATGGTGAATGACTGTGCGGTTGTGGCAGATATAGACCATCAACATGAGTGAGACACAGACGAAGCACACCGGTCCAGCAATGACAGCTGCCAGTTCCACGGGACCAAGACCAGGTGATGGCTTCACTGAAAAAGGGCCTCGAGTGAAACAAACATCAACAACAACAAAAACACTGTAGGTGGCAACCCCCATTTTCCTAATCCTACACAATTCCTGCAGCTGGCCACTGCCACCACTTAGCCGAAGAGCCTCATTACAACAGCTTATAGTGCTCAAACCCAGAACAAGTGAATCAGTCAGTCTTCTCCCACTAGGCCTCCTTTTATGAACACCAGCTCTGTCAGTACCCACCTACTCTTCCTGTATTCTTCAACCATCATCACAAGGTCAGCTGCCAGCAATATTATAGGACCTTCCCCATTTATCACATCAGGTTACTAATACCAATAACCTGTAACAATACCCATTAACATCTCCTTAATAATCATCTTGTTTTTTTAAAGTATGTTTAGCTTGTCTTCTTGTTCTAAGGCCAGTACATGCTCATGGCAGGGAAAATAAAACCCGAACAACAACAACAAAATCAAAACAAACAAAAAAACCAAAACACATATGTCTTCATCACTCCCCAACAACTCACATTTTAGTACATATCTCTACTAATTTTTTTTTTTTTTGAGATGGAGTTTCACTCTTGTTGCCCAGGCTAGAGTGCAGTGGCGCGATCTCAGCTCATTGCAATGTCCGTCTCCCAGGTTCAAGGGATTCTCTTGCCTAAGTAGCTGGGACTACAGTCATGCACCACCACACCTGGCTAATTTTTGTATCTTGGTAGAGATGGGGTTTCACCATGTTTGTCAGGCTGGTCTCAAATTCCTGACCTCAAGTGATCCACCCACCTTGGCCTCCCAAAGTGCTGAGATACAGGTGTGAGCCACTGTGCCCAGCCCATTTCTCCATCAATTTTTTAAAAGGCAAAACATATCCTTTGTTTTTTTAACAGAGTTTTCATATATATATATATTTAGGTTATTTTAACCTCCTGGACTTTTAAGTCCAGATCATTTTCTTGTAACTTCTACTAATAATTAAGATTTTCTGGTTGCTTCAGAACATTACAATTATTTTGACATTCATCCTGGGCCTTACTGGTTTACTGCTTACCACCACTTCATTCATATCACATCTTTCCCATTCTCGAGATCTTTAGTAGATTAATCTCTTATCACACAGAATCCTATTTCTAGTAATTTCTTTCAGGAAGAGTCTATGGGTCCTCTGTACACTGAACTTAGTTGTGGCAAGAAGGCTGTTGCCTTTCTATATAAAAAATCTTGGCCTATTTCAAGAATTTTGGATAACAGCAAGAATGTTCCATTTGCCCTCTGATATTTAAGCAGAAAATGTGAACTTTTGTTTTTGCCTTTTATAGGTAACCAACGTTTATGTGTGTTAAATGCTTACATAATTCTTTTATTCTTGAAATTGATAATTTTTATTATATGTGTTTGGATTAATATTTTTCACTAATTCTGTGTGGTATTCTGTCTTCTCTCTGGTCTCATGCCTTTTTCTAGAATTCTGATAATAAGCATATTAGATAGTCTAAATCTGTTCCCTATAACTCTTAATATGCTCACCAACTGTCTTTTCTCTGAATTGTAACACAATTTCTTAAGCTTGTCCCAAACTTGACTATAAAATTATAGCATCCAGTCTGTTGTTCGCTCTCAATAGTGCATTTTTAAAAACATTCATCAGTTGGACTTTTCCTCAGAAAGCAACCTTTAACAACTGTGAAATGTTCTCATTTTATAGTCAATAACTGAAAATAGACCTTAAACTGTTTGAAACTTCTTCCCTATCATGTGGTAAGCCTAGTTCTTAGGATGACATCTAATCTATGTAGTTCAGACTACTTCTTTTGAACTCCTAACTTTTCATTGGTAATTTTTTGCTGTTTGCCTATCCTAGAGCTGGAAATGAGAAGTGTATATATGTTCATTAGAAACAAGAAATGAAGTGACTTCTTCACAAGGTTTTGCAAATCTCTACTCAGATATTTTGAGCTCAAATGGGAAATTCTGGAATTATCCTTTTCTTTGCCACGTTATAACTCCAGATGCCTTCATCAAAGTCACAAAGATATTACAGTCCGACCAGCCCTTACCACAGGGAGCTGCATTATCATGCACAACAGGTGGAGGGCTGCCTCCCTTCTGAAACCAGAAGGACTGGCCTTTTCCTTCTGTGCTACAGCAATGCTTCCTCTTTTAATCAGCACAAGGCCTAGACCAACTCTGAGTGGAAAGTGAGCAACTGTGTCTGCTCCTCTAAGAACTGAAGCCAGGTGCTTCCTAAAGGGAACTGAGAGTTTGCCCCATACCCTAACTTTCCCCTAGTCCCTCATCTAAGTTATTGGGTAGATTTTTCAATGACTAACCTTTCTTATATGACTAGTCAATTCTTCACTAGTCTGGTATCATCTGTACTGTAAATTGCAGAAGTTCCTCAAAAGTGTTGGCATGTGGGTGGCATTTTACCATTAATTCGACTAGCATTAATGTAAGTTGCCTTCATTTTTACATTCCTTTGGGATCTGGGGAAAGTGGTAAGAGTGATACACATGTGCTCAGACTTTCATGTTAAACCAGAATCTTGAAACTAAGAAGTTTATGAAGGTTTCAAACTGTTGGTTCTGCCAGGAAATTTTATTTGTGTTATTTTAGAAGAGACGGGGTTTCTCCATGTTGGCCAGGCTGGTCTCGAGCTTCTGGCCTCAAGTCATCTGCCGAGCTCAGCCTCCCAAAGTGCTAGTGCTGGGATTACAGGCGTGAGCCACTGCACCCAGCCCTAGGAAATTTTAAATGTAAACTACAGGTGAAGGAACAAAAATCTAGAAATCATGTATAATTAATTTATGCATAAAGATCATAAAATAAGCTGAAATTACAAAATAAAAGCATCTAGACTGTTTAGTGCTGCTCTGAATTCCCACTCATTAAACTGCTGTTGATTGTTTTAAAAGACAGGAGTATTATATAAGGAAGAAGAAATCCACTCTGAGAAGAAAGTAGAGACAATCTGAAGATGTTGTTGTGGACTTTGTCAGAATTTGCTTTCATCTATCCTTTTAGGTATAACAGACCTCAGAGGAAGTCCACCTTGGAACCACCTTCTTAAACAACACATATCCAGAAGGCAGAATCTTGGCTACTCTTGTAAGTATATAACAATGGACAAGTCACTTCTTTACTCTTCTTGCCTCCAAACTGAACAAGTTGGATTAGATAATTTCTATGATCCCTTCTAGTTCTAAAATCACAGAGTATTAAGAGTTTTTCTTGTAATATCTAAGCAAAAAATTTTATACAACTTACCAGTAGTTGGAAGTTCTATTTTATTGCAATGGTCCTGATTGCAGCAATATGTTGTTGTCACAGACCCAGTTTTTGAAGAGGGTGCACATACAAATGGCCTATCTCGAGGAATTAAGTCAGTTTCAGCTATACACATGGTGTTGTGTATAACTTTGTCTGTGGTCTCTGTGACAGAGACAAAGCAGAGCCCATCTGTCACACAAGTAAAATTGTCTTTTGTACAGAGGTGGCAGAAACACTGTAATGCTGGAAAAGAGAAAGATTCTATTAGAAAAAAACTCAAAGTTAACAGTTTGAAATTATCGAATATTCACTCTAATAATACATTCTTGATCTTATCACAAAATTTATATGCACTGTTCAAAAAACAACTATTTGTTGCTCTTAGAAATTTCAAATTCTATTAAGAACCACATACATGTAGAAGCCTGAAATGTAGTAACACTTAAACCCAGGTTTCTTCCTAAAGTTTTTTGCTTCCAAGTACAGAAAAATTTTGTTACATGCAATTTCATCAAAGCAAGGCAAGCATTTGCCTTCCCATTAGAAACAAAGTACATTTAAATTTGTAAGGTTATACTTTTTTTTTTAAGCCAGCCCCAAACTAAGCATTCACATACTCCTCCTTTGAGGGGCAATGTGTGAAAACACTACCATCCATTAACTGTAGGCTAATGCCATTTCAGTTGGTTTCTGGGTAATGGAGTAACAGAAACAGATTTGTACTGAGCCAGACACTCTCTATTGTCCTTGGTGCAAACCCTAAAAAAGTCATGTATATTCTGGCCAGAACTGGGGCATTCTCTTGTGAAGTCAGGCAGACTACAACAGTAAGAATATATAAATGCTCCAAGCACATAGGCAGCCTAACTACAGAAGCCACTGGTGGCAAAAAACTAGCTTCATACCCACTTATATCTACTTGATCTTTATGGCTTAACCCCAGGAGTGACCTCTGTAGGGAAGCCTTCTAAACATCACTAACACCTTCCCATACATCCAGATACACACATCTTCAACCATGCTCTCTGATGAAATGCAAAAACACACACTGCTTACCAGAATTGCTAGTTTTGTTTTTCTCTCTCCTATGAAACTGTAAACTCCATGAGGCCAGATACCTGTATTAGTCATTTCTGTGTATCTGCCATCTAACACCATGCCTGATACACAGCAGCATCCAAAAAATACTTGTTGAATCACAATCATAGAATGGGTACATAATTTCACCATGGTCTCATGAAATTGCAAAGCAAAGACAGTCTTAAAACCAAACGTTCCAATTACTTGTTGGCAAGAGAGAAAAAAAAAAAGGAGTCTCGGTATGTGGAATGGCCATCTATGAGGAGAGCAGGGAGGTCCACCGTAACTAGAAAAGGAGTGGCTAGGTAGACAGAGGCAGGACAGAGAAAGCTAACTTCCCGAACAGCTAACTTGCTGTACAAGAAAGGGTTAATTCAGCAGGACTGAGTTTCTCAGAGCCTGCACATTCCCAAGAAAGACCTATCTTTAAAACTAGCTTTGGCTGGCTTCTGGTAGAGGAGCTCTAAACTTTTGGAATATTCTCCCTGACAAGAATATTTCTATATGCCTGAGGCCTTGGGTCACATGGTACCAATTTTGCCAGATAGCTTATTCTAACAATGTTACAGTGAACACCTATTACTGCTGGGGGCCGGGTGGGGGATGTCTGAGGGGCTGAAGCCTGTCACTCAGGTGCTGCAAGCCTAAGTGACTGACCAACAATAAAAACCCTGGACACCAAGGCTCAAGTGAGCTTCCCTGGTTCACAACTTCGTGCATGTTGTCACATGTTTTTGAGACAATTAAGGCCATCTATGCTATTCTACTGGAATGGGACACCTGGAAACGTGTGCCTGATTTCTCCTAGACTTCACTCCGGGAGCCTTTTCCTTTTGTTGATGTTAATCTGTCTGGTTTTGCTGTAATAAACTATAACCACGACTATAACAGCTTTTCTGAGTCCTGTGAGTCCTTCTAGCAAATCAAGTCTGAGGGTGGCCCTGGAGACTCCCAACTCATGTGCTAAACTCAAATTCAGGAATGTCAGGTTCTCCTAAAGTAGTTGTTTCTTGGTTGTTGCTTAATTCACACACTTGTCTATTATCTTTACAGACCAGTAAAGTTTTACCTTAATCATTATTAAAAATGCTTTATTCATAAACAGGTTAGACATTTGCTTCTTAAGTATGAAAGAAACCGAAGAAAATTACAAGAGACACAATCATAATATATTTTAAAACTGCTAAAAGAGATAGTAATTATTCATGACAATGTGTGATGGTGATGGCTATCTGGGTATAATTTCCTAAGGAGGAATTCTGAACCAAGAATTCATGGACTGGCTTCAAAGGTACATGAATTCCATAAAACTATAAGCCTAATGTTATATGTATTCGCATTTTCACGGAAAAGCTTTCAAAATAACTCACAAAGGAGTCTGTGACCCACAAAGCATTAAGCTATCATCATAGGAGACTGTCATAATTCTCTCCTAAATCCTCTTTACTCATGATTAGTCATTCAACCCACGTTTTCTAAGCATTACTTTTATCAGTTCCTCTACCAAAAGCTTAGTATACAAAGATTAATTAACTAATGGTCACGGCCCTTGAAGAGCTTCAACAACAAGTGAAGCAGAACACTGTAATACAATGTGGCAACCACTATACATAAAAAATACTGCCATGAATACTCTCCCAGTTCTCGGATCACCAGGGCTCCCCTATGTTTATGAAATAAGGGCTAAACACCTGGCCTAACAAGACTTGTAGTTTGGGGTTCCAATTTACTTCTCACATGACAAATGCTATCTAGGGCCACACACCTCTCACCATTATCATAATCATGTCTTTCATGACCTTGGTCTTTACATATACCACCTCTCTGTCTAGTTTAAACTTATCTTCTTATCTGACTCATCCTTTAAGACCCTATTCCAATAGGATCTTTTCCATGATGTGCTCTAAACCTCACCCTTACCTTCACAATAATTGGTAGCTCCTTTCAATATGTTCCTTTGCATACCTTTAGGACAGTGAAAATCAATCTATTTACAGTTTGCTGTTAAAGTGTCTTTCATTGCCTTAGGAAGGGCCAAACTTGTTTTGTTTTTCACATCTCTGCTGGTTCCTTAGATAGTGATCAGAAAAATATTTGCTAAAACAGTGTTTCTGAAATATATTGGGAGATAAAAGGATGTATATGTTGTATACAAGTTTTAAACAAATATTTTCATTTCAAAGATAATACAAAAATAAGGATAAACATTCAAGATCATGAGTAGCCACTATCTAAACACGGGCACTAGGCTTTCACTGCTGCTTCTTCAGCTGTGTGAAGATCTCCTTCAGCCAAATGTCCTTGTGGCACACTACACACAGCGTAAGTTTCATGGTCATTCTAAAAGAAAGAGTAAAAAATAAAAGGAACTCAAATCATCAGAGCATATGGCAATACAGGCATGGCATGCATATTCAAAAGCCAATAGCCTAACAGCCAATATCATATGTGCACTTTATTATATGCAAGTGTTCTATGGGTCCTATATGTGTAGTAAAATCTGCAAATATTTGTTAGCAGTAAATGTAATTGTAAATGCAATGATGTTTTTCCATTCTCATTTCCAGCAATAACTGGTTTAGAAAATCATTTAATGAAGATTTTAATAATGTCATAATATTAACTATATCTTCCAATAAATAAAACAGCTGACATTTCTGTAAAACTTATAAGCCTATATTTGAGGAATGCTTGCTGGCAAGTGTTTTGATTAGGTACGATGTCTCATTCTGAACATACCCATAAAGCTTTGAAGTCATTAATACTCTCCTGCATAATATTACTGATGAGAAGAGGCACTGCTCACAGCTTTTATTATCACTGAAGTTAAAATACAGAAACAGATTTAAAATGGAATTAGACCTAAAGTTACTTTTTTCTACTGTGAAACCTAAACATCATCTGTCACACTGAATAACTGTATTCATTTGAATTTTGTTTTTTTGATAGTTGCCTTTGTATTTAATTTGCAGATTTGGTTTATAGTGGTGCATGAGCCAAGAACATAAGGGTTTTATATCTAGTTTCACGTCTACAGAATTTAAGTAACATTATGAAAAATACATATCAAAAATACATTCTGTACTTCTTTCAAGGGGGTCATTACATTACAGTAAACTTGAAAAAGTCAGTGCTAAAGGGTTTCTCTTAACTACTTTTTCAGTAAGAAGAAGAGGTCACTAGACAAATAAAAACATCTAGATAACACAAAGCTTAACTGGGCAAAGATTTCTCCCTCCAGGGAATTAAAAAATTCTATTTCTCCACTTGAAATCAGTCTTGTTTGACTACAGACTGCTGTTACATGATACGGCAAAATCATTTAGGGAAAAACTAAAACGGGAATTTAAACTTTTCCATGAACATATGGGTTTTAATTGACATTTTCTTAACAATTTCAAATTTATTTTATTAATAGAGAGATTTGGCCCCTGGTTACCCACCCCTTTTATTCAACTAGGTTTTTAATTTTTAAATGCACATACAGGGCAAAATTTCAATCTAAAAAAGGGATACAATGACATCTCCTTCCCATTAGCCCAAAGCCCAAGTTCTCCTTAATCCACAACTCCAGCCCATCACTTTAACTCTTTCATTTGATTCTGCAATTATTTACTAAGCATCTCTATATGCCAGGTACAGTCTGGGCTATGAGGTTTAGGGATAAATAAGACAAGGTATTTGCACTTGAGTAGTTCACTAGGGTGGAAGAGAAAGGCATTAAACAGATAATTAAAATCCTGAGTCCTAAGGAGAATGATCAAAGTGTTTCTACTCTGCTGAGGTAGAAGAGATTATCAAGAAAAGCTTCGGCAGCATTCAAGTCAGAACTTGGAGAATATGTATAATTTGCTAGATAGATGAAGGTGAGAAAGCTTTCCTGACTGGGTTTTCTTTCTCAATGGCAGGATTTCATCCTTAGAGGATACCAAGCATACCAAGTAAGATGATCAAATTTAAATTGTTCAAGAGGCTAACCACCATGTTTCATTTCACCAGGAAAACGAACATAATACCTTTCTGACCTATTTCATCACATGACTGAGCTAATCAAATGAGATACTGTACATTAACACATTTGGAAACTAACATTAATGATTATATAAACACACAGAATCATCCCATATGATAAATGGCATTGTTCCAATGTGATTTTTATTTGTAGGCCACCAAAGGTAAACTTCTTCCCAAAAGTAGTGACAAAATTCCGCTGTAGAATACCAGACTAACAGAACCACATGAAACTTTGAATATCATCTAGGTAATTCAGTTCTGTCATTTTATTAATGAAGAAACCAAAACTTAAGAAAACTAAAATGATTAAAAAAAAAAAAAGAAAGAAAGAAAACCAAAATGATTTATACCAATATTCTATCCAGATTACAAGGTGGATGTGAATTCCCACGATATTATCATCACCACCCCACAAGTAAAATCTATGCAACTATTTGCTGTATCGCTATCCACATGCTAAGTAACTCTAAACTTTAGACTCCCAGGTGGACCTGATTTGGTTTAGACTTCTACAGTTGACTCCTCCACTTGATAACAAAAATAAGAACCAAATCCCCTGTTACATACCTTTCTACTACACTGTCCAACTTTGTTTCCATGCCCCAATCTCTAATAGTAGGCACAGTTTTCTTAGTTTTGAGATGCACACTTCTCTAAGCTTTACATTTCTAAAATCTGGATACAATTTACAATCAAAGTAAAAATACTGAAAGGTTAAGACATGATGAGTTGCCATAACCTATGTATGTGCAAACTTGGCTATACAAAGAAGGTATTACGAGTTGCATATCCCTCATGGAAAATGCTCAGGACCAAAAGTGTTTTGGATTTGGGATTTTTTTTCAGATTTTGGAATATCTGCATTGAGACATCTTGGGAATGGGACCAAGTCTAAATATAAAATTCACTCATGTTTCATATATGCTTTACATATATAGCCTGAAGGTAATTTAATATTTTAAATAATTTTGAGCATGAAACAAAGTTTGTGTTAAAGTACTTACGTGTAGAATTTTCCACTTGTGGCAGAATTTCGGATTAGGGTGTTTGACTTGTATTCGTTTCACCATTACTTTAATTATTTGCCTTGGTAGCTCCCTTGCAACTAGACTTTAACTTAGGTTGAACAAGGATTTCAGTATGATTCGGCACTAAAACGAAAAGCTACTATGTACACAGAAAATTATATCAGACCCATGCCAGGAAATACAATTACTAGCAGTGAAATTTCCAAACATTGCAGAATAAATCAGAATTTTCAAAGTTTGCAGATGTTAGTATGTGACATTTGGTACATCAAAGGAAGTGACATGAGGAAAAAGAGACAACAGGACCCTTCGGATTATTATCCACAGAATTATAGTATCAGGTTAACAGCTCTCAGGTTAACATCCCAAGCTGAGATCTTGGCTGTTGGTCCCAATATAAAGGATTTCCTTGGTTGCCTCATTTCAGTATGTCTCGAGGCCACACATGGAAGTACTATTACTTCTACCTAATGCCAGGGATACCCAGGGTTAATTCACAAGCCCGTATGTCTTGCTAGAAAAGCTGAGAGATAGACAGCTGTACATAGTACTAATATATGGAACAAACATTTCTATCACCCTTGTTAAAGAAATAAAAATTAGCATCAGAAACCTTGTCTTCCCGGGCTTAGTGTGTCATCATCTATACAACCTACCCATACTCTTTTTATGCATATGCTTGAAAACTCTTTCCTTTTTCAACCCTTGTTATTGGCCTTTTCCATTCTTCCATCATACATCTTCCTTCAATTCAGAAATCGACTGAAATCTCTCTTTGAAATTCACTAGCAATGCCCTTCTGGTCAAATTCAATAGTGTTTTCAAAATGTTTCAGGATATGAGACAGAATGCCACTCTTTATTAGTTTATAGGACACTACACTTCCCAACATACTTTGCACTTGGCCTTTTACCTGTGCTCCAAGCTTGTATTTTAACTGCATGCAGGGAACACTCTGCTTGACTTACTTATCTATACAAAGTCAAGCTGAGTGTTTAAAATCCAGTCTTTTCACCACTCTGACTTTGCTGGTGATGACCCTTATTTTCCTCACCCTGCCCATTACAGCACAACTATACTTTTCTTTGCAGTGAGAGTATTTCCAAATATTACAAACATGTACCAACAGGCAAATAAATGGCATTGTTTTTTGATAAATTGGTTTTTGATAAAAGACCTAACATGCACAATGTCCTTTATTCAGTTTGTTTCTCCACAGCTGAAAGCAGATCACACCACTGCTGGCAAAGGTGAAGGCAAAAGTTAGAAGTTATTTAAAAAATCCTTTCAGGGACTAGTGTCAGCCCTTTTTATCATCCAACCTATTCCTCTACCCCAGTTCTTCTGAGTAATCTGCCTTCCCTCTTTTCTCCATTCTCAACACCATGCCCCTTTTTCAAGGAGATGTGTCCTCTCTTCTTCCTCATCCACCTCTGAAGTAAAGCATACTATATAGTCTCCTCTTTCTTGTATTAAATATGTTACTTATTTCTGTATACGTGGCTAAAACCCTGACATCCAGCTCCCTCCAGCCTACTATCCTAGGTTTTGTTCCTCAAAATACTCAGTTATTTTCAATTCAACCCTCTTGGGCTACCCTGCAGCAGTAATATCAAAGTGAGCTTGTCAAAACAGATGACACCATATAATGTACACAAAATTTTCCTCTAGTCCAGGTAATATTTCACCCCTGAATTTAGGGCATCAGAATAAACATCTTTTTTCCAGATAAATTCCATTACTTCTGTCACTTTTTTTAATTTTTATTTTTTTGAGATAGAGTTTTGCTCTTGTTGTCCCAGCTGCAGTGCAATGGTGGAATCTCAGCTCACTGCAACCTCTACCTCCCAAGTTCAAACAATTCTCCTGCCTCAGTATCTGGAGTAGCTGGGATTACAGGTGCATGCCACCATGCCCAGCTAATTTTTTGTACTTTTAATAGAGACGGGGTTTCTCCATGTTGGTCAGGCTGGTCTCAAACTCCCGACCTCAGGTGATCTGCCTGCCTCTGCCTCCCAAAGTGCTGGGATTACAGGCGTGAGCCACCGTGCCCATCCTACTTCTGCTACTTTTAAAGAACTTAAGATGTTTCGTTTATCATTTAACCCACATCACATCTTAAAAGAACAAGGCACTCCCAAATTCACAAGCACTTGTTTTTCCACATTATCTTCATTTTCCAGTCTCCTAGTCTCTGTGGAATTAGCCAATATAATGTTAACTGATATCAGAGAAAACACACTAAGAATAGGCTGCACAAATGGCAAGATGGGATTTAACAGGGCAACTAATACAAACGCTTTGATTTAGATTCGAAATAAATCACCCAAGTACAGCATAAAGATCTGCTTAGAGGATCTGAGGAGTTTAACAACACATTTTAAAAGAAGCAGAGCCTTTAAAAAGTATCTTTTAATCCATTAATTCTACTCAGAGTTTGGTCTAAGGACACAATAGGTGAGAGCAAAAATCTAAGCTCACAGATGCTCATTATAGTATTTTATGACTGAAAACAACCTATGTGAATGACAATACAATGACAGAATGAATCCCGATACAATCATAAATGGAAGAATATAGCCATTAAAACTGGCATTTTAGAAGCATGTTTAAGGACAAGGAAATGGTCCTACTACTAAATGGCAGGAAGTAAAGTTGTATAGTGTGATTACAATTACAGTCCTGTCAAGTGACCTTGTTTTTGTTCCACTTTAATGAGTTAAGGGGATATTTTAATATACAGAGCAGATGTGTGTACTTTACCTTACCCCAGGCCCTGAAAAGAAATGGAGAAACTTCTACGTCTAATGGTAAGTGCTAAAACAATAACCAAATTTCTTATTTCCTCTCCATCTCAGCATGCTTTTACACAGTTTCTTTTTAGATTTTAATTTGACTAGTGGGTAGGCATTACAAGGATATGGTAGTTAAGTTGATGGAACTCAGAGACAAAAAGACTTAAGTTCAAATCCTATCTTTGCTAGTCAGGCACTGGGTAATCCTGAGGAAATCACTTAACTTATTTGAACCTAAATTTCTTCAGCTTCCTAAATTTATAACATACTAACAGTACCATCTCAGAAGGTTTGAGAGTTAATGAGATAGCATAAATATAATACTCAGGACAGTGTCCAGTACATAATAAAATGCTCAAAAATTAGTTTATGCACTTTTTCAACAAGTATTTCTTTAGCCAGTCCCTGCTCTAGATGCTAGACAGAGAATCAGAGCTAATGTTGAGATGGCTCTAGGAGGCAATACTGACACAGAACACAATAAAAACCACATGCACATAAAACAGCAAATGTTCATGGTATGCATCATCTCTTTCTCCTTCATAAATATTCATACAGTTTTTAACACTATGACTGAACAGACCTGGCTCAAGAACTTCACTGTAGCAGCATTAGGCACATACAGAAAGTATATTTTCAGTTCCAAACCAAATTAACAGTGTAGGGACATATCCAGTGTGTTTATGTAATATCTCTAACTAATAAATAAGTTAATATCTAATTAGCCATAAAATATTCATGCTGGAAGGAATATAAACAGAAATATAAGATCCCATACCCTTTACAGATGAAGAAACAGAAATGTCCTAACACTTACTTCAACATAATCTAGATTTATTCCAAAAGCACACAAAGGAAAGAAAGGATTACTTGATAATCCGGTGATTTCCACCCCTACTTCCCACAACCCCCAATGTAGGACAAAATGAAAAATTCAACCTTTCCCTTTGGAAAGCATGAGTGGCTGTAGGAGACACTGGCTTGGCTGCAATAAGGTGTAATGATGAACGTAAATCAAAGTGGCAATCATCCTGAGCTAGAGGAACGACGAACAAAACAGAACTGTGGTAGAGAAGGAACTGTGGTAAGAGAAGGAAGTGGTTACCACTCCCAGCTGCCACTGACTCAGGGCAGAGGAGAGCAATCCTGGCCAGCAAACAGCAAAAGATCTGTTGGAGCCATAGTTGAAGAAATGAACTGATGGTGCTGTGCAGTTAGTAATTTTAGAAGCAGAAAGCAGGGCCTGAACACCTTTTCTCAGAACAGAACAGTGTATGTAACCTGTGTAGGAAGAAAGAAAAAACCTTTAGGAGGACAGAGATAATTAGGATATCTCTGACCTCAAGTTCAAAATGTAGAGAACATGCCACTGATAAATGATGATGCAAAGTGCACGGATCAGAGGACACAGAAGGGAGATTTCTCCGAAAGACGACAACTAAACTAAGACTTAAGGAAAGCTAGTGAAGAAAGGAAAGTCATTTCAGGGAGAGGATACACAAAAACATCGTACAGAGATGCCAAAGTAAAAGTTTGAGCCAGGCATGGTGGCACACGCCTGTAGTCCCAGGCTACTTGGAAGGCTGAGGTAGGAGGATCACTTGAACCCCAGGAATTTGAGGCTGCAGTGGGCCGAGATCAGGCCACAGCACTCCAGCTTGGGCAACAGAGTGAGATCCTGTCTCAGAAAAAAAAAAAAAAGGAGTAAGGGAGTTTGGCAGTTTAGGTGATGTAAACAAAAACCAAAAAAACTGATAAAATTTAACAGCTGTTCATGATTTTTAAAAATCTTCGTAAACTGATAAAATTCAACAGCTCTTCATGATCTTTAAAAATCTTAGTAAACAGTAGAACTGTTTAAAAAAATTCTGAAATAATCAGATTAAGGAAAAGGCATAAAGCAGGCATTACACTTGTTGCATGACTGTCAGTTTCCCCCTGAAATCACAATAAGAAAAGGATATCTATCACTCCTCCTCAACCTTGTATTAGAGGTCTGAGTGTAATAAGTCAGAAATGAACAAAAGGAAGATAGACTGGAAAGAAACAGAACTATCATTACTTGCAGATGACAACTGTGTACATAGAAAATCCAAAAGTGTCCTACACATCAACTATTAGAATCAATTAGTAAATCTAGCACGGTCACCAATATAAGGTTACTCACTATACAAAAATAAAATAAAATAATCATTCTTAAACCAGTAGCAAATAGAAAATATATTTTAAAAATCTAAAAACTAGGAATAAACCTAACAAAAGACAGGTAAGACCTCTGCATGGAAAGCTTAAAAAATATTACTTATTGATAGAAATTACAAAGGAGATAAAATAAAATTTAAAAATGTATTTATAAATGGAGAAAAATGACAAGTTCCTAACTGGAAGATTCAACACTGTAAAGAGGTCAATATTCCATAAAGTGATCTGTCGATTCAATAAAATCAAATCAGAATCCCCACAGGGTTTTTATTCAGTAGGAAGTGACAAGTTGATTCTAAAATTCATATGGAAAAACAACATCCCAGGATAACCAAAGCAATCTTTGGAAAGCCTACATTACTAGATATTAAGACTCCTAATATTATAATAATTAAGACAGTATGGTAATGGCACAAGGACAAATAGGCAAACAGAACAGAGATTCCAGAGAAACAGACCCTCACATGTACACAACCTCTTGATTTATGATGAAGGTGATACTACTGTACACTGGAAGAAAGAAGGTATTAACAATAAATTGTTCTGAGTCAACTGGATATGCATATTTTAAAAATAATAAAGATCTCATACCGTAATAACCAACTCTCGATGGACTATAAGGTAAAACAAACAACATTTGGGTCAGAAAGAGTAAGCAAACAGGATTCACAAGGCACTTAACCTTAAAGAAAAAAACTGAAGGCCAGGTACAGTGGCTGATGCCTGTAATCCCAGCACTTTGGGAGGCTGAGGCAGGTGGATCACCTGAGGTCAGGAGTTCAAGACCAGCCTGGCCAACATGGCAAAACCCCATCTCTACAAAAAATACAAAAATTAGTCAGACATGGTAGTGGGCACCTGTAATCCCAGCTACACAGAAGGCTGAGCCCAGAGAATTGTTTGAACCCAGGAAGGCGGAGGTTGCAGTGAGCCAAGATCATACCATTGCACTCCAGCCTGGGTGACAGAGTGAGACTCTGGCTCAAAAAAAAAAAAAAAAAAGAAAAGAAAAGAAAAGAAATTGAACCTATACTACTGTAAATACATTAAAGTTTATCAGAAAGATATCATTCTCTTTGGTCATTTTTCTATCCATGGTGCTCTTTATAGATATTAATTTTTCTATTCATGTTGTCCTTCTAAAATATTTATGTTTTTAAATAATAATGCATTTGCAAAGACTACAGATCAATTTTTTTTCCTTAACTTTTTTCTATATTCCTGTTACTTAGTTGCTCTTTCTCTAGCTTGATTTTCAAATTTCTGGCTCTCAAATTTTCCATTGGGTACCACTTTAGCAAAAGTCCCACTACTTTTGGCATGTAGAGCTCTTGTCCATTTAGATGGTTTATAATTGTAACTCTAACTTCTACTTTAAGGGATCATTGAGAAGAGTAATCTTAAATTTTCAAGTGGACCTATTATTTTGGCTTTAAAAAACTCGACTTCTGTCAGGACATGGTGGCTCATGCCTGTAATCCTAGCACTTTGGGAAGCTGAGGCAGATGGACCCCTTGAGTCCATCTATTTGGAGTTTGAGACCAGCTGGGCAACATGGTGAAACCCCATCTCTACAGAAAAATACAAAAGATTAGCCAAGTGTGATGGCGGGTATCTGTAGTCCTAGCTACTTGTGTGGCTGAGGTATGTGGATCACTTAAGCCTCGGAGGCAGAGGTGAGCAGAGATCATGCCACTGCACTCCAACCTGGGTAAAAGAGAAAGACTCTGTCTCAAAAAGACAACAAAAAAATATGTTGATTTCAAATTTGAGTGTTATGAACCTCCACATCATCGATTTCTTGGAAAACTCCAGAAGTATTCTGAAAGAATGCTATTTGTGATTACA